TTAAGTTGGTAGAATAATCCCACGAGGCATGTACATAATCTGATGTCTTCATTCTCAGCAAGGGGGTTATATTCATCCAAAAACGACTGAGCGTCTTCTTCGCTAAGATCTTCGGCAACTGCGTACAACAACACGAGGACGACAAGTACACCAACTACTCTAGTTGCAGACATTTTAAAATATTTGTTATCATGAAAAATATCATAATCCCTGATCACGTGATGCGTGGGGTCGAAAGAGCACGTTTATTATATGTATGTTATTGTATAATTATTCGACTATGGTATCAGAGGAATAGCTCACAACATAACAAATTTGTAAATACGGTGTGAAATTATGGCAAGATCCTTTTCGACTATGGTATCAGAGAAACACATTTTACAAATTATAATTAAAATCAAAACGTGTGGAAAATATTGGCTTTGTAATATTTGGTACAGGCGCAGCACATCTTGCATGGTGCTGTTATCAAATTTGGCAAACATAAGAACCTGTTATCTTTGACTGACATTCGAAATATGCCAAGTCAACATTGCGTGCCTCGGTAGCTTGGATACACATATATGAATATCGTATTTCATTGTATTGCAAAAATTACAGTGTCGTATATCTTTTAAACAGAGCATGACTTTGACTGAAACCATATCTTGTTTCAGTGGTGTTAGAACGGCGTGTGGTGGTGTGGTCTCGTGGTGATGGTGATAGTTTATAATATTACCTTCGTCCTGAACGAATCGAGTGCGTGTTTGTGTATATAATTATTACAAGGAATACATTGGCAATCTACTATGATGATTGATTTATTCAATATCACGTCTCCATGTTACAGATGGTAGCATTTACATTATATAGATAAGAGTTCACCGCTATTTTGGTAACTATACCATGCCCAAATAAATCATCAAGGCTTAGTCATTGTAGCCAGTAAGTCAGAAGAAGACAGCGTTTTGACATTATGCGCCCAGCTTGCTAAAGCGACTAAAGGTTATTGACACATTATATACTAGTGCGGGAAGCTTGGTTCGTTAGATGCAAGATTCACGCGTCCAGACACATGCGAAATCAAAAGTAAATACTAAGATTAGTTAGTAGTGTTGAAAATTTAACACCGTTAACTGAACTGGCAGAATTTAATGCATGAAAATATAGCTGTTAACTGTATAAACTTTGTACATCGTTTACTCTGCACGTTATCTTACTAACCATCAGCTACAGATATGTAGTATTCGCCGGTGAGTCAATAATTTGAATCACCAGAAAAAAATTACAGTTTTTTTTATTGTAATGCAGTCTCAAATTTAATATGATAAATGTATTCTTCTAAACCAAGGAATTATTAATTGATAATTTCTTAAAAAATCTGCACTACAGCATTTACCAGCGATGACATGTTTCATAGAACGAAGACAAGTTTGTCTTAATTACAGCACAAGGAACACAAACAGGAAGCCAGTGACGATCATGTCGATGTAAGACATGCTAATGATAGGCGATCCACTTGTTTCTGGTACTGAAAATGAAATAAACACGCGTGTTTATGAAGATGACAAATCATGCAAGTCTTGTTTCAGTGTAGACAGTGGGTTAGAATCTAACAGCAATAGCCAATGACAATGATAATTTAGCCATTGGTAATGCTCAATTAACATATCAATGTGAAATTGGCCGATGACAATGATTAATTAGCTAGTAACAATGCTAAATTAGCCGATGACAATGCTTAATTATCTGATATCAATACTGAATTAACCGATAAATAGCTGATAACAATGCTAAAATAGCCGATGACAATGATATTATTAGCCGATGACAATGGTAGATCTGCCAAAGAATGCTCAATTAGCCGATGATAATGCTATATTAGCTAATGACAATGCTCAATTAGACAATGAGAATACTCAATTAGCCCGTGGAAAGCTAAATTAGCCGATGAAGTAGGTTAAAAAAGAAGAGCAAGATAACGTTAATATTGAGATAGCTTGTAATGTAAGTAATTGTATCTCTACCACCATGGACAGATGACTGACGCATAGATACAAATGTGAGATTACGGATTGTATGTAAAAGGTGCAAAATTCGTCAACAACCCCCATTTGCATAAATTTAGGCTACATTAGCGCAACTATTAACACCACCAAAAATATAATCATAATGCCTCAAAGATACGTATATAAATACTCACTCCCAGTCGTTGGTTCATCTACTTCATATGGTTTCCATGTACATTCGGGATCCCATCCTACTGTATCTATTATACCAAGTTCAAATAACTCCTTATTTAACCATTCGTCCAGTAGTTTGAAGTAATTCAATAATGGTAAAGACTCCATTTCACTTGTACCTGCTATGGCATACATCGCGTATGGCCACGGTACACTACGACCTTTTTCTAACATGTCCCTGCAAACAATGAACATATTTAATATCTACTCATATTTACCCTTTTATGAGCATATGCGAGAAATGAATAAAAAATCAAAATGCGATTATTAAACTCTGCACCTAATCTCAGACATGTGCAAAGACAAGAACTTTGGTATCTTGTTTTGTGTAGTAACGCTTACCCCAGAATTGTCCCAGCTTCTGTAGAATTGTAGAAATCACATTTAAAGATCTCCTGGTCCCATCCTGCCGCCTCGCACATGGCTTCGTTGAATTGGAACTGGATGAATGTCCGGGTGTAGTACCTAGTAGATTCAGATGTGAATCAAACGATGTATGAACGTACTACATCATACTACTATAACAATGCACGTTATGTAAAAATGGAATATTTTAATTTTGTAAATATTGAACTACCTCAAGAATGACCAATCAGTGGCAATGTGGTACATTGCACCAGGATCAAAGTCTTCTTCTGTTCGGGGAACTGGTTCAACAACGCCAGCAACTGTATTTCTGAAAAAAAAATAAGTGTATTCAATTAATTATTTTGAATATAAAGTTGGCTAATCTATAATCTTTTTGTAATGTCAAGTGAAGCGGAATGTACGTTTAGTTGTGAACGTCCGAGGTGAAGGCGTGATGGTTTCAGATGTTCACAATGTTTCATCTTCATATTATACCAACATGACCTTCTTTAAATACATTTTAACTATATTCAACAAGAGAGGCTCAATTCATTCTCTGTTCAGATTAATCCGTATTTTTGTGTATTTAGTCTGAATTGGTGTTTGCTGTCTTGAGTTGAAATGGTGTCAACTCCGCTAGGAATTGATGTTAATTGTAAAACTGTATCTTTGCAATATCAATTTCTTGGCGTTTGCTCGCTCATATTTACGCCATTTTCAGTGGAAAACACTTACATTCAAGTACATTATTATTGAATCAAACAGAATCGTATTTTCATCAGATGAGCTGTTTGTTTATAGATAAAACAACCACAACAAAATATCAGAGATCACACATATCTAAGTACAACATCCGTACACAGAGGCCTCCGCTCATTTGTCAATCAGCTTGAAAACTCCCATAATGCACCTACTTTATCTCCCACCACTTTTTCATCCAATCTTCGTATGGTATATTATAACGAAACACTTCCCAACGCCATTTCTCTAAAGCAAGAGAGAATGGTAACGTAGCAACCATTGTCAAAGCTTGCTTCATCAGGAAATTGATGTCTGACGCTAGAAATAATAAAAACAGTGCATGTGATTAATGTTATCATGTATCTAGTTTGAATAATGTATTTAGTTTGATTAGTTTGTTAATTATTGATGTGAAAATATATTAGCCAACTGCCAAATGCAATTGTTTTAGTACATTTGAGAAGAAAAGTCAGTTACTTTCGACATATGTTATAATCAACGAAACCTTAGAAAGATCTCCATTTGCTAAGAGAATTGGAGACACGTTAAAATTAATTCGAAATTTAAGATTTGCTTTTCAAACAAGAAGCTTAGCAACTAATATTTGTCTGCTATTTGAGGTGCACAACGTTAGTTTTGAATTGTTAAAAATAAATGACTGGAATTTTACTGAGACGGAAAGTGCACCAACAAATATATTTTGACCTCGCGTGTTGCATGTTTTTAAATTCGCACATAATTTATACGTGTTTCAATGTTGGTACAGCCATTTCCAGCAGTACCAGCCATCTCAAACATTGAATTTTTAACTTAGAGACGAACATATCGATCTCTGTTCAAGAAAATATTCAGATAACATTTATATCTCAAATGCTGCAAATCTCTTAATCCAAAGACGAGGTGCATCACGTTAAAATCACTCCGAGACGACCAGTTTTCAAAATTTTAATTCAAAACACCATTTCACGGTATATTGTTTGTATGGTCATTTTCAAACGCATTAAAGTTTCAATCAAACAATTAGTCTTGTTCTTTTCATGAACCCCGGAAACGGTGTAGCAGTAAGACTAGAATTAGTGACCCCTACAACAGCCCTAACACTTGACCCATTCCTTACCATAGTCATCTGGGTTTTCATGCAGTAAACCAATTGTGTAAAGATGTTCTGTAGTGGAGGCAGACATTGCGATGACCTCGCCTACAGCCTCGTGAAAACCCTCATTAGCACCGTCACGGAACTGAACCGGTAGATTTTGGTATTGTAAATAGTACTGAATGTGTCCCATTTCATGATGTATTGTCATAAAATCATCCATGTTTACCTCTGTGCACATACGTATCCTGAAAGTAATCAGAAGTCAGTCAGAACGTGGAATCTTCCGTACGCTGGCGCCACTCAATATTTGTGAAGACGCCACCTACACAATGTGGGTACGACATTTTCTCTTGTCAGTCAGTCAGTCAGTCAGTCAGTCAGTCTGTCCATTGATTAACTATTCAAATCTCCAATACCTGAAATCGATCCGATTAAAGAAGTCCCAGGCAGTAGCATGACACTCTACTAATCTATCAGTTGGTTTGACGAACATGGATTCTGCCCAGAACTCTGGGGGCGCTTCCATCATTCCCATTGATATGAAGAAATCATCCGCCATACGAAACATCCTTTCGACTGTATAGTTCTGTTAAAGAGATGATAATATTTAGTTGATTTTATATGTGACCATAAGTGCAGGAATATGTTGTTGTGTTTCTCAACATTTGTGATATCCCAAATAACGTTGCGCTTTTTAAATTAAGAAAACAACTACAACACATGAATCGTAAGTTGTGAGGACTAATTCGAGACGACAGTACCTGGTGATTTGGTCTATGCCAAATGACTCAATACCATCACGGGACATTATATACGTTATACGACATCGTCGTATATCACGCCCTCTTGTGGTGGACCCTGACTGTGGATTTGTTTTTCGTTTTTTGGCCCATAAGAAAAATCTGAATGATTGCTCGCCTACTACAGAATGCATGAGTCACACGAGTGCTTTATGTTGTAAAGATCGAGTCGACATTGATGGAGGCTGATTTCTATCGCGTTCCACATTGGTTTATAGGTCTGGATACTAGGAAATCGAGTGGAAGAGACAATATATACTAGTAGTTGATTGTTTAAGTTAGTAAGGTACAATGTATTTATAGATACTAGAACTAAAAGGCTCAACTTAATGAGGTGATTTTCGATAATTTGAGATAAGACAGTTTGTTTCGAAAAACTGAGACTCCGGGACTGAGGTTTGCTCCAGTATTGTAGACGAGTGGGGATTAAACTTTGCTCTAATATTGTTGACGAGTGGGGATTAAACTTTGCTCCAATATTATTGACGAGTGGGGATTAAACTTTGCTCCAATATTATTGACGAGTGGGGATTAAACTTTGCTCCAATATTGTTGACGAGTGGGGATTAAACTTTGCTCCAATATTGTTGACGAGTGGGGATTAAACTTTGCTCCAATATTGTTGACGAGTGGGAATTGAGGTTTGATTGAACACTGTTGACCAGTGGGACCGCATCTTCGCTAGCCAAGGTCTAAGTTTATTCGGCCAAGCCTCTAAACAGACCTTGGTAGAACGACCATCAAATATGCGTATTCTAACAGCGCCCCCAGTAGTAAGTTGCGGCGAATCATTATCCAATCAATTTGCGTGTTACAAATCCCTCTTTGGCGTTTCATTTTAAACAAAGTGGCGGCGCCCATGAATCGTGATATTTGTGATGATAAAACTGCGAAAGATTTCGGTGTTGGTGCCCTCAAGCCTCATCAGGTACAGGCAATCGACTCAGTTTTGTTGATGTCTTCATAGCGACAAAAACAGGAAGTGGAATTATGTTTTATAATTTGGTACGTCCAAGCTGATTGGGCGCCTTGTTTCGAGACGCGCCCAATCAGATCTCACTGCTTAAGATACGCAATTAGCCTATGCGATCCCGCACGGTATCGTGTAGGGGCCTATAAGTCGAAGACACGGGACCGTGCGATTCGGACGATGGTGGTACTGAGGTTTGCTCCAATATTGATGACGAGTTGAAACTGAGGTTTTCTCCAATACTGTTGACCAGGGGGACTGACTGGAGGTTTGCTCCAATACTGTTGATCTGTGGGAACTGAGGTTTGCTCCAATACTGTTGACCAGAGGGGACTGAAGTTTGGTCCAATACTGTTGACTAGGGGGACTGAGGTTTGTTCCAATACTGTTGACTAGGGGGGCTGACCGGAGGTTTGCTCCAATACCATTGACCAGAGGGGACTGAGGTTTGCTCCAATACTGTTGACCAGTGGGAACTGAGGTTTGCTCCAATACTGTTGACCAGAGGGGACTGAGGTTTGTTCCAATACTGTTGACCAGAGGGACTGACTGGAGGTTTGCTCCAATACCGCTAACCAGAGGGGACTGAGGTTTGCTTCAATACTGTTGACCAGTGGAAACTGAGGATTGCTCCAATACTGTTGACGAGAGGGGACTGAGGTTTGCTCCAATATTGTTGACCAGAGGGGATTGAGGTTTGCTCCAATACTGTTGACCAGAGGGGATTGAGGTTTGCTCCAATACTGTTGACGAGAGGGGACTGAGGTTTGCTCCAATATTGTTGACCAGGGGGACTGACTGGAGGTTTGCTCCAATACTGTTGACCAGAGGGGACTGAGGTTTGATTCAATACTGTTAACCAGGGGGGACTGAGGTTTGTTCTGATACTGTTGACCAGAAGGGACTGAGGTTTGTTCCAATACTGTTGATCAGGGGGACTGAGGTTTGCTCCAATACTGTTGACCAGAGGGACTGAGGTTGATAAGTTGATAAGTGTCCCACTAATACTGTTGTCAGGAGACTTAATACTTATCCCTGGAGACACATTACAATATTTATTTATTTACAGTGCCCTGAATTAAGAATTTGTCAAATTCTATGTCTCTCACGGAGATGAAGTTAAAACCACTTACCTGTCGTATCATTTCATCTGTGACGTCAACATTGGTGCCATTTGGGTATGGTTCAACGATGCTATAAATATTTGTCCAGAACCGACCCCACATGTCGCCTTTTGAAAATAGATAGTAAAAATACAATTACATCTCAATATATTATTTTATAGTGATGCTGACTATGACGTCCATTATTCCTGGTAGACGCTCCTTGTCAAAGATCATTCTTTCACTCATTTCCCCACAATAATGGTACACCTACGCTGGCTGAAAGACATCCCTCATAACAGTTCATCGTATCACTCATCTTATCACAGTAATGGTACACCCCTTACCTAATACATTAGCTGGTAGACATCCCTTATCAAGGTTTATCTTATCACCCACCCCATCACAGTGATGGTACACCCCTTACCTAATACATTAGCTGGTAGACATCCCTTATCAAGGTTTATCTTATCACCCACCCCATCACAGTGATGGTACACCCCTTACCTAATACATTAGCTGGCAGACATCCCTTATCAAGGTTTATCTTATCACCCACCCCATCACAGTGATGGTACACCCCTTACCTAATACATTAGCTGGCAGACATCCCTTATCAAGGTTTATCTTATCACCCACCCCATCACAGTGATGGTACACCCCTTACCTAATACATTAGCTGGTAGACATCCCTTATCAAGGTTTATCTTATCACCCACCCCATCACAGTGATGGTACACCCCTTACCTAATACATTAGCTG